TGGCATTTAATGTTGTTGTTGTTGTTGTTGTTTTTTTTCCGCTGTCTTCTTTAATCGTCACTCTCTTTCTCTCTTTTTCACGTTCATCAGCTAGGTATTTTAACTAATACCTTTAGTCTATAATCTGTCAAATTCGATTCGGTGTGTGTGTGTGTATTTGTTTTTGCGAAAGCGGCTTAATTGTCTGTCTTCTCAGTACAAATGGTGTATCTATAATTCGCACCACCGATTTTCTTCCATTCTCCCAACAAGCAGAGCACCCAAGTTTCAATGAAGCCGAAAATAATTACCACAAGACGACGACGACGACGACGACGAAGACGGCAACGACACACCGAGAATGAAAAGAGCAGTTTGCCAGAGTATGCATGTAATTAAATGCAGATAACAGCAGTTAAAACATCTATCGTGCATTATTCAGTTTATTTCTTTGCAATTCGCACCCGAAAAATATCGATTGGATGAACAAACAAACGAAACTGGTTTTTCGGTAATCGCGTGCAATGCTATATCGTTACGTTATGGGTTCGACAAAATTTTATTGGCTCAAAACGCATCTACTTGTGTGGCAACTTGTGTAAGACACAAGTACCAGCGCAAACAATACAGACACAGTTTTGGCCATGGTGTCGATGCGTTTAAGTTGTACGAATTCATCACCGTTTGGCTAAACGCCATGCAAAACTTTACACCCCAAAAAAAAGGAAATAAGACTCAAATAGACATTGCTATCGATGCAATCCAATTCGGCATCGAGTCAATCGAAATCAAGCTTCGTGATGTACATAACACCGAAGCAGAAAGTCAGTGAAAGAGATAGAGATAGAGAGAGAGTAAAAAGAAGAGATATTGCATTCGAGAAGCCATGGAACTGGTAATAATGATCTAAAAATATGAACTGAGTGAAGGAAAGATGCGCTATTGAACACTCCAACCAAATAATGAGTAATGGATCAATATAGTGGAGTAGACGAAGAAAAAGCCACCAACCAAGTCTTGATCTCGGTCTCTCATTCGTTTGCTTTGCCAATATATCCCTCTCCCTACTCTCTTCTCTTTCTCTCTTTCTCTCTTTCTCTCGATACGACCGAATAAAAACGAAATGAATTGGGAAAACAAAAAGTTGTTTTAAAGCAATTAGTTCTGAATGGGAATAAGGGCAAACATGAATACAACGCAATTTCAATGCGAAAAAGCGGCAAGTTTGACAGAGATCGATAGACGACTGTGAGTGGCGGAAACAAGGCTGTGATTCTCTGGAAATGCTATGCTCAGCTGTTGAGACAGAATGGGATAAAGAGAGAGAGAGAGAGAGAGAGAGAGAGAGAGAGAGAGAAATAGCAAGCGAACAATTACATAATAGGTCATACCTGAAGGGGATTTATACACATTGAAAGTTTTGATTATAAATTTTCGCTCAAACAAAGTTTTTTACTTGTTTTTTTTTCCTTTCGTTTTGCAGCTGTCTCTCTCCCGCTCTTGCTTTTTCAATTATTATTATTAATATTGTCTGTTCTGAAGGAATCTCCCTTTCTCTGTCCTTTTCGTGAGCCGTGTCTGAACGAAGAACGAATATATAGATAGGATATATTCGGGAGGAGGAGAAATAGGGCGCATTTTCCATATAGATTTGTTGAACTTCGATAATGCCAACGGCGTTCGCTGATCCATTCATACATTTCGTAAAGATAATTTTATCTTTTACATGTAAAAAGCACACAAGCAATAATGTCAAAACCGAATGTTCGTCGGTTTGTATGGCACTCTGGGTGTTTTTCTTCGTTTGGCTCGACGGAGATGATGACAACACCAACAACAGTAGCAGCAGCAGCATCAGCGTTTGCCCCAAATGAAAAGTAAACGAAACATCCGATGAGTTGTATGTCTGTGGATGTATCAAATGGCGATGTATAAGTAAATGAGTACTTAATGCCATTTCTCAATGATATAGTATTCAAAACTCCAGCGAAATTTCATTTTAACACTTGTATTTCCTTTAATTTTTGTTTATGTTTTTGTTTCTTTTTTTCGCCTCACTTCGTCGTCTCTCACTTGCCATTTTGTTCCCCTTTCGGTCTGAGGCATCCGCCGTTTTTGTGCACCACCACCACCGTCATTAAGATCGTCGTCGTTGTCGAGCCCGCGTCCTTGTCGACATCGTTTAAATTGCGCTGCTGAAGCAAGCATCGGCGTAAATTTACCGATAAATTCGCTGTTGGAATGAAACGTGCTTGAATGCGACCTCCTTGTGTAGTGAAACCTCGAAATTTTGCCCATTTATGCACGTTCTTACGGCATCCCGTCTATCTCCCTCTCTTGGCCTCTCTCTCTCTCTCTCTCTCTATCTCATTCGTCCCCACAACCACCATCATCATCACTGAAAAAATCTACCGAGTGAAATTCAATACTTTACCACATAATTTCCTTTCGCGTAATCGTTTAATTGTTGAGTGAATGTTTAATACAACGTCGAAACAAATTTACATCTCTGCTTGACATTCGTATCGTGAATGCGCTTGAAGCACAACACGCATACACACAAATCCGTACTGTGCGATATCGTTCGCTCCCTGCTTCTGTTGCCAGCCATTCCATAGTTTCGAACATTTATCTATCACACAAATTCATCTTTTCGTAAGATGGGTATTTTTGTTGGTGTCTATTTTTTATTCTCTTCCAAGTATTTAACTCCATCGCCTGCTTTTGCTCGTGTTCGTTCGATTCTCCGCTGGAAATAAACACTTGAAGCTGAATCCATTTGCTGGTGGTGGAGTTGCTGCTGCTGCTGCTGCTGCTGTGCTCACTCGGTCGTGGTGTGATTTTATCCATTTTTCTTACACCAGCGGCAAAGTTAACTTCTTTTTCTTTTAATTTTTCACTTTTGGAGTACTTTACACTCTTTACGTTTTACGCGAAATTAATCACACAAGAAAATTACAACCGAGAGCAAAAGACGCTAGACGGTGCGGAGCGAACAAAGAATGGATGTATGATGCCTTTTTTTCGGGACGACTGACAACAACGGAAAATAAAAGAAAGAGAGAGAGAGAGAGAGAGAGAGAGGATGGGAGAGAAAGGGAAAAACATTACAAAAGTAACTGAGTAAGAAAATTAAACTGCGACGCAAAAGATAAAGCAAAACAATAATAACGAAATATGAGGAAAAAAAAATATTTAAAACTAAAGCGCCAGAATAGAAAAACACTCACAAATTACGCCAATATACCGATAATAAAACTCCGAGCATCGGAAGTTACGTACAATTTTTGTTTGCTTTCATGGAGAAAAACAACAACGAGAACTTTAAGGAAATTTATGCTTTTTTTTTTATTTTCTATTCATTTCACTCTCTTGATCGCTCTTGCTTGTGCTCGTTCTATCTATTGCATGCGCACACCATATCTATGAGGCGATGTAAGATGATTCCGTAATATATGCGCTTTATCGCTGTATGCTCGTTGTTGCTGTGTATGTGTGTGTTTGCAATGATGGGCGCACTGTTTAAATTAAAACTTTTCATCAAGTCAAGTAAAATTTTCTCTCTACGAACGAAGCCAAAAAGAGATGGGTCCACAATATATACACACACATATATATATATATGTATACACATAAAAATGTTCGACGAACGCAACTGAAATGCGAGGAGAAGAAGAAAAAAGAAATGTGTGCCATGGTCTTGGTCTGGCATTCCGGGCCGTAGATGGAATTAACAAATGAACTTCGTTTGATATAAATATTCACGCTGCAAAATGCAAGGCTTTTGGCTCAACTTTAAATCAAATGCAAATTGCAGTGCGCCATTCATTTCGTCTGGATGCGTTTTTACTTTCTCCGTCTAAATTGCATTGCATTGCTACTGGTTTCTTGCTACTGGTATGATTTTTTTTCCTCTCTCTCTCTCTCTCTCTCTCTCTCCTCTCACTTCGCTACTTCTCTCAATCTCCCGGTAAAATGTGAGCACAAATTAATGTTTACACAAAATCATCCTTCCATAAGCACAAGTGAAAAGAGTCTCTTGATTTCTTTTCAATGTTCATCCAGAACAGTTCTGGTTGTTACTTAATTTTTTTTAGTCCCAACATTTTCTCTCTCGCTTTGCCTGGTTTTTTTTTCTCTAGCCTCTTCAACAGCCAACCAATTGAAGCATCGACGGCTCGATGCACTCAATTTTTTCTCATTCGTTCACTCACTTCTTCCAAAACTCGTGTTTTACTTGCGATTTGTTTTTGTCAGTCGTTCGTTCGTTTAGTACCAGTTGTTGCAAACTGCACATGAGCACTCAAAACATTAGAGCGGAATATTGTAAATACCGAAACATTTCTTTCTTGTCGGTTACGAAGCGAAAAATTTAAAAGTTTATTTTTTTCTTCGCTTGCGTCGATGATTTTCCTTCAAGAGTATGAAAATTGAAAACCAAATTTATTTGCTCGTGGTGCTGTTTCATCGAAAGAAAATTTGTCACATTTTCAACTTGGCTTGAATAGTGTGAACTTGTAGCGCGCTCGCACATGTAAATGGACGAAAAATTTTATGCAGAAATGAAAATTGCACACAATTTATGTTGCTTCTTTTTAAATAACAAAAATAATATTGTGTTGAAAAGAAAACATCAATCGTTAAGTGCAATAAATTCAGGGTGGTGAAAAATAAACTAACTCTGTTTTGTGGCAAAATTTTTATTTTTTTGTATAAAATGCAAAGTCGAACCTTTGAAGTAAATGAAATTTTTTGCAGAAATGAAAAGTGAACAATTTTATCTCATTCGAAAAATGACAATATATTTTTGCTACTTTTTGCGTATTGGATTTTGAATACGACCGCTAAAAATAATAGTATTAGATGCCCGGTGTCGAACAAAAAACACAAACGGATGATCAACTACGATACGAGGTAGCTTTAAAGCAACTTTAAATGCCTGTGTGCCTAAAAAAGAATAGATTTCATGAGAATTCTACTTCATTTCAAAGAACATGAGAAACTCACTGCCAATATTGAGACCTCCTTTAGTCCCGAGAGTTCCCAACTCATCAATGCCAAAATATGCTTTTTGAATGATTTTATCAACATGAAATGTTGCATCGCATCCGGAAAATTCACTTAAATCGGCATTGTCACTAAATATTTCAGTAATATTCAGCTGTAAGTGGGAAAAATAATTAATCTCCATGATAGAATAATAAAAATGATTGTAAATACATACATTTTTCAAAATTGTATTTAATTCGATGTCAAAGTCAATTTCGCTCATTGCCAAGGTTCTTCATAATATATTTAAGTTCATAGTCATTCAGTTTGGCTTCAAGATCGGTTAGGCCCGTGCGATTATTGGGCAATACGATAACAAACGTGAATTGTGTATTACCAAAATAGATCTCAACCGCCGAAGCATCCAAACCGTGTAGGTACTTGTAATTGTGTATTGGACCATACACATTTCGAGTTTTGATGCACATGTACTCGACCTCGACGGTTTCATTTTCACCGATAAAAAAGTCGCCACGGTACGTACAGTCTTTTTCGAATGGATAGAGCCAATTGTTATTGAAATGAATGGTATTTACCAAAATTATGTTCGATTCCTTATTCAGCATGCTCGGCATTATTATATTTTGAACGATTTTGTTCGTTTTCCTTTCAACAAATTGATTAATCATTCATATACTGTTATTTTGTTCCCTAAAATTGAGATGTTCAACTCCTGATGCAAATTTGGAATTTGCAATTTGTTGAAATTGTTCGCTGATTCCACACTTTTCCTGCACATAAATTTGGTTCACAGTGGCTATGGTGTAATCGTCATCTTTTATCTTTGAATCAAGGTCATAAAACTGATTTGCAATGGCCGTTTTATTGATGCTCAAGTGCAACCCTTTTCTTAGTTCTGCATAGGTTGTACCATTTGTAGCTTGAGTCAGAAGCGCAAGCGAGTTTGCAACCGAAAGCGGTGAAATGATCACATTTTCCGTGGGTTTTAATTGAATACTTTGCTGTGGCCAAGAAATAGATATAATATATGAATTAATATGGAACTTATTGATTTTTTTTCAATTTACCCGGTAAAGATCAAAAGTAAAATTTGAAACTCCCTGCGCCAGTTCATATTTAATTGTAACACTATTCTCAACTCTGAACGAAGCCACAAGCGAACAATGCAACATCAACAAATCTAGAGAGAAATATGTAAATTCAAACAATTGAATCAAGATAGTCAAATGTTGGATGCGATAGTCAGTAATTACGATAGCAAATTTTTAATATTTCCATAGGTTTGACTGTAGTAAAACGAAGAAACTTTAAAAAACGTATATTCTCTTCTGGATGGAGGTGGACGTATGACTCGATAGATAAATAGACTGCAAATGAAGCCAATACTCTATTTTGGGTACTTTGAATGAAAGACAGCAATTTTCATTCATTTCACTACTGCTTTTTTTATTAATCAAATCAACTTAACTCAAAAATTTATTAAATTGCCTCTTCTTAACAAATCGGTATATTTATATATAATAGAACAGGAAACCGCCATTAAAATTCAACAACATTTTTGGTGACCAGTCTGATATGAGCACATATACACTCATTTGTATTACCATTGTCAGAAATCTATTGGTGAGACGTAAAAGAAAGTATGTTTCTTTTCGATTTTAAATATTTGAAAAAGAAAGTATGTTCTTTTGTGATACTGTTTGTGTTAAAAGAATGTATGTTCAATTTTCGTGGGTAGTCATGGATTTTAATTAATGCACCCATTTGCACCGTTCTGAGAAAAGTACTCGACAGATAATGTTTATGGATGGAACACAAATGACGTGTTTACTTCGTAATTATGACAAGGAATTAATTTTTTAAAAAAATGTAAATTTCCTCGTTGTTGTTTGCGGTTTTAAGCGGATCATAAACATGTCTTATTTGCTCGCATTTTTTTCCTTCGCTGCTGTCGTTGTTGATGCGCCTTCAAAAAAAAAACTGCATACATAAATGGCGAATCACACTTGCTGCCGGTTTATGTGTTGCACCAAACCACCACCACCGATTTGCGATAAGTATTATTGCATTTGTTTTCGAATTTCGTGGAATGAATTTGCTTGCAATTTTTATTTGAATTGCTGATTTTTATCGCAAACTCACAAAAATGGCTATTTATTGCGATTTTCAGTGGAAGATTTGCTTCACACAAAAGACAGCGTTCATACAAGGGCAAGCCAAGGAAGAAGAAGCACGGACGGTATTTTAGTCATTCATTGACTGAACATGATAAAAGTGCATGTTTTTGCCTCATAATCAGACGATTTGTGGCCTGAGAAACGATGAAAATGCGCCCAGATGTGCATGTTATGTGCTCAGCTAACGACCCATACACATCTTGTAATTAGCTTTTTCATCACGAACACAACCGCCATCCATTGACGATTGTCATTCTCTCAAATGCTTGGAACGCAACGAAAGCGATCTTATGCATCCACAAATAAGAAAGAAAAATATTTAAAAAAAAAACAGTGACCGAAATAATAATGAGAAGAAAAAAAACCTTGGTAATATGTTCAATGTCATAAAAAATGGTTTATCAAAGAACCAGTAATAAAAATCGCCTCTGCTTAGCGTGCGCGTATGGGACTTACTAGACTGAACATTAACATATCGAAGAACAAAATGAAGAAAAAAATAACAAACAAACCCAAAATCGGCAACAAAATGCAACAACAAAAATTGACACAAAAATTAACAATAAATGTAAAATGATACGAAAATCAAAGTGAGTGTTAAGCCGAGCTCACATGGCGCGCCGCTTGAATGGGAAAAAAATAAATAAAATACGACCGCAGCCGGTTTTATTTGATGTGTCCACAGAGAGAGAGTGAGCGAAAGAGGGAGACCGTGATCAGAGAGAATCGAATGGAATGAAACGAAATAAAAGCGGTTATGCTTCAATTTATCGCATTAAAATCTGAAAATATCGTAATTTCTTTGGTAAAATTGCAATTAAAAGAGAAAATGTTGATGTTGTTGTGTCTGTTTCTCTCTCTCTCACACACACACATTTGATAGTCGCTGAGTCGCTTGCTCGCTATCTTGTCGAGTGTTTTAATCAATCGTTCTCGTTTCGTCTTCGGCCAATATATCACGCAGCCAACAGCGATTTATCACACAATATAAGAACGGCACACAATATGTGCATGCAGAGTGCGTGCGTACGCACAGCTCGGCCGCTCAGTGCTGGGGAATAATCACAAAGCGAAAAGTGAAACAGATGAGTGAGAGCGGGTGAAAGCGACGTCAAGATAAATAAAACCCGAAAAATGTAAGACAAAAAAAAAAATTATTAAACGACATCCACAAAAATATGGTCCATTATCTGAAGCGAAATGCTGGCGAAAGCATGCAAAAACGAACGAAAAACAAATCCACTTTTATTGATGAGCAACACGGAAAATGTTATCGGGTTATTTTCGCTGTTGTTGTGCTGGTCGGCATTGCCATTTGCTGAATTTTGTGCGAATGCACACCACATCATTTCGTGATGTGTTATTGTAATTCATTGGCATCATTTACAAATAAATGAAGTGTCTTTTACCGAAAAACAAACAGTACGCACACACACACACACACACTGAATGAACATTTGCTGCGGAGAATGTCATCTCTTGGTGATGACTGGATCGATTGCTGCATTCAATGATTGTGATGATGTGAGCGATAGCAAGCAACGAACCAAGCGACTTTGACACCCAGAAATGCGTCTGACACATTAAATTAATGAATATCTATGAGATATTACGAACAACTAATAAATTATTATTGACGGCTCGGCAATGACGACAGTATTGATGGTTTTGTTTCGGTGATTCGGTTCTGCTACTGCTTTTTTCGCTTTTTTTGTCTGTCTGTCGCGTCTTGTGTTGCGTCTTATGAGTGGTTTGCTGATGATGAGAGCATGAAACCAACATGATTGACTATTACTATGCGAGTGTAATGCCAATCGTAATTTACATGATAGCATAGTATAATTTCATATTTCACCCCTGTCGATCCTCAAATATCCATGAATACTTTCGATTAGCTGCAAATTTGTTTGGCAATCGATGACGAAGTGCTTATCTATTGCGTAATACTATCTGACACACACATATTAAGAGTGTGTGTGTGTGTGTGTGCGTGTGGAGGATCAATACACATTGAGACGTTTGGCAACACCATCAGACTAACTGAATTACCAAGTTTTTGCTTTTGACTGACAAGTCGCTTTTCTTCTAATAGCTTGGAAAACTTTTCGCAAATGTATCAACACGGATTCCTTTTTTATTGTTCGTTCGCAAGCTGCTGTGCGTTGCCGGTCGCACTGCATCTGTACCATGTGTATGTATGTGTGTGTGTGTGTCAACGAAATGAAAAACTTTCGATGATAAACTTGTCAGAGTTGGTGTCTAACATGCACACATTCCCCATATGAATTGATCGACAACAAAAGAGAGACAGTGAGAGAGTGTTGTTGCAATTGCGAATGCATAAATCAATCAATTTCGGACACTGGAAATGAACAGTCGTACGTGATATATGCTTCAAATAATGACAAATGCAGTGTAAAATTTATTTCATTCCTTTAAATCATCGTGTTCGATAGAGAGAGAGAGGTAGAGGGAGGTTGACTATGGGTATCAGTTGCTCTTTTCATGTATGTTGGTCAAAGAAGGATTGGACGCGTAATTCAAGTGTTTAAGCTAGTTGCTTGCAATCATTCAGATTTAATTGCTTGAAAATCTGCAAACAAATTGAGATTTGCGCGACAAACGAACGGAGAAAGAGAAAGAGAAAGAGAAAGAGAGAGAGAGAGAGAGAGAGAGAGAGAGAGAGAAAGAGAGAGGAGGAGGAGGATGATATGTGATTCATATGTACACATGGTGAATTGACATCAATAAATGCTTGTCTAATTATTCCACCCCATGTCGATAATGAAGAGAAAATTATGGTCAGTTTCGTTGGCATCGGTGCAACGACAGCTAAAGTTCATTAAGCCATTGGTCATTTGAAAATACCGTATTTAGATGTCAATGGATTTAGATTTTACAGCCACACTCGTTACTCATTCTCTTCCACCATTTGGGACTTACATGCGCTTGCCGCAGCTCTCGCGAATACCTCAACATGCCTCACAAACATTTGTTTCACATTTCACATAATCAATAGGTATTGACATCTGCGGCAATCTCATTCACTTGATTCTATCTCTCGCTCGCTTTTGTTCTCTTTCCTTTCACTCTCTCTCTCTCTCTCTATCTTTCTCTCCGGTTGTCATTTCTAATTATACACACATGCGATAAATTTTGGCGTACTTAGATTGTGTTCGATATGTGTGCGCGCACACACACTCACATCCGACTACTTGAATCAATCGTATCAACGATTGCGAAAATGCACATATAATTCATTTCAATACCGTCGAAATTGAATTCATTAAACGGTGATGTTCTCTTTCAATTAGCGAGAGTGAGTGGCATGGCCACTTCGCCGACGGCAGTGATACCGGATGGTAAACTGAAATTCGATAATGGTAAAATCCGCATTAAAACAACGACGATCATTGAACATACCATTAAAAGTTGAGGCACACGTAAACAGAGCGCGCCAAACACTTGACTCAATCAGATGGTTTCTGTCAAAATTACACGAGGATAAGAACGTAAAGAATTGCTCGGCTTTATCCATGTATACATCCATTATGCGAACGATGCAAAGTGATGTGTGTGTCCTGATTTAATGTAGAAAAATATATACACACACACACACACACACACACACACACA